ATAAATGTGAGCTACCACAAAATGTGGCATACTGGATTGAGAGGCTGGGAGACAAGAAAACCTAATTCAAGTCCTGTTCCTGAAACACATGTAGCTATATCACCCTGGGCTAGTCACTTAACTTCTCTACTTGACCTAGACAAGAACAGTTAGGTGGCAGAATGGATAAAATGGTGGGCCTAGAGTAGGAAAGACTCATCTTTCTGAATTCAACTCATACACTTACTAGCTGTGTGACCCTGGGCAAGTCACTTTACCCCATTTTCCTCAGTTTCCCCTTCTGTAAAATGAGTTGGAGAAGGAAATAGAAAATCACTCCAATATATTTGCCAAGAAAACCCAATATGTGTTCACAAAGAGTCAGACATAACTGAAAAACAACTGAACGGCAACAGCTGACCTAATCAATTCTCTAGGGAAATAACCTATAGAGAAGGTGTAAACCTGTATTAGAAGAGGTAGATTCCTAATCTGGGAGTTCCCTATGCTAAAGAAATCACAGGCCCTCCCCCTATCCATATTTCTATCAGGATTTTAGCCTCTATTTTCTAAATCAGATTGCATTGCATCTGTTTTGTCATTTTTTTTTGCAATGTTTATAAATTTATAAAACTGCTTTTGCCAATGGTACCTAAGCAACCCTGATAACTTAAGGTTGATGGAGAGGCATGTCACAAAGAGATTTTCTTCTTAATAAATGAATAAATCTTTGGTTTTTATTTGGTTTGTTTGACTTTTAAAGGACCTAATAAAAGGATTTGTTCTGTGAATTTTGGATTCAGTCAAAGGGCCACAGGTTTCCCACCCCTGAATAAAATTCCAGACATTGATTTGTTTCAATCCATGTGTGATCCACTTTTTACTTGAATCATAATCTTTTTTTGCAATTCACACTAAACTTAAAGAGATTCTAATAGGAGTGAACCCCTTTTCTCCCTAGGTATCCCATTCTAATTTTAAACAGCTCTAATTATGAAGGTGTTTTCTTGTAAATGTTAGTCTTTTATAGTCAGGCCTGAATACCCATTGTTTTTATATCTCCAGTTTTACACTGACTTGGCTCAGTACCTTGTGGGTATGGCCATATGTTAGGATACTTTAAAGATACACATTGATGAAAGGCCATTCATTTGATGAAAAAAATATATTAGTCACATTGTCAAATCTCATGTAACATTGTCCTAAGTTGTAGTCATTTGGAAACACTATGCACATAGTCCAGAATGGCTATGCCAATTCACAGATTTACAGATAATTCATCAATATTTCTATTTCTCCAAAACCTCCCTAACTTTTGACAAAGCATAAGTCTATAAGCCCAAAATGATAAAAAAAAAAAAGGAAAAGAAAAAAGGATCTATATAAAGGAAAATATTTGTAACAGCTCTATTGTGATGGCAAAAGAACTGGAAACTATGTGGGTACCCATCAGTTATGGAATGGTTGGATAAATTATAATAAGATAGTACCATAAGGAATAAGAAAAGGGATGTATTTAAAGAAACCTTTGTATGAATTGTATTTGTATGAATTGCTGCAGAGTGAACTGAGCAGAACCATGAAAATAATTATACATAACAACATTATAAAGACTAACAACCTTAAAAAATTTAAGATGCTTGATTAAGGCAATGGACAACCATAATTCCAGGGGACTTATATGATCCATGCTACTCACTTGAGGGCAATGAGGGGATTGATTCAAGACACATAATAGGACATACATTTTTGAATGTGGACATGTAGGGGTTTGTTTTGCTTGACTATGCACATTTGTTACATGTGTTTTATTTTTCTTTTAAATTGGGGAGGGGTGAGAGAGAGAGAGAAGATAGATGCTTGTTAATTTAAAAAGAAAATGAAATTAAAAAAAGAAATACCATGTGTAATCACATCAACTTTCTTTTGATCAAACTTAACTTTTTGTCACTGAAAATCCAACCTCTCACCTTTGCTGTATGTTCCTTTTTAGGTAATAGAACTAAACATGGACAACTCTGTAGGACATGACATTTCAAAATAAAAGTTGATGCACTATTTGATTGAAGGTGCTTTATCGTGGATAAGAAACTAACATCGAGTCTGGAAATCAGAGGAAGGAGAAAGTGGGCTTCTTTGAATGAAAAAATCAGAGCACAAGGATTCCTTTTTGGGAGTAGACATTAATATTTGAATAAATAAGGTCCTTGAGAGTAAAATCTGCATGGAAAACAAAACTTTGTTATAGGGTAAAATAAAAAATGGAGGGGGTTAAGGAGCAATAAAATCCTATAAAATGACATGAACTGACAGGAAAACAAACCCACAGATGATGCTTTCCATGGGCATGTGAATGGAAATGAATTTACAGGGGAAAAAATCCAAACTACATTTATGAAATGGCAAGCTTTGTCATGTACTAAATGTAGCTCCGTTGTGATCACCACTCCTTAAAATAGATATAACAGAAGTGAAAGAGGTCCAAAGGAAAGCAACAAGCATGACCAAGGGAATGGACATTGAACATGCAAAGACAACCTGAAATGATGAGGACTTTTGAATCTGGACAGGAAACAAGTAAGAAAGGGTATAATCAAAGTCACATACATTTTGGAAATCTGAGTACAGACTCATTTAATAAATATTAGGACACTAGATAGAGTTAGGAAAATTTTGAAGCTCTGATTTTAGGGTTGGTGAAAGCAAGCATTACTTTAGACACTGGACATTAAACATAGGAACTCATCACTCTAAGTCTGAAAATATAGTTTTAAAGCAAAGTCATGAAACTATGAAAATGTTTATGACTCATAATGCTTAATGAAGGGATGCTAAAGCTTTCCAGAATCCATCTTTTTATCACTGACAGGGATAGGTAAATCATTTTATTATGGCAACTGTCAGAAATGGGTATTAGACCATATAGGAGATATCTCTGAGCCAACATGGCAATACAAAAAGGTGAGCAAACGAACTAAAATGACCAAACAAAAAAAAAAATAATTAATTTATCTTAGTTTTATCAGAGGAAAAATAGTTGAAAAGCTATATGTTTGTTAAATGAATTTAAATACTTAAAGATAAGCAGTTTTATTCATTCTAAAAATGATAAATTGTTTAGAGCTCTAAACTGTTTTACAATATTTATTCTTATGAAGGCACAATTTCACTTATTCAGAAATTTATGGAAAACATTTGGATTTAGTTATTTAACTTAATGCCTACATATGTAGTAGGTACTGCCTTTAATGTGAGATTTCGTAATGACTGCAGTATCTTCCTTCATAAAGAGTTTTTTTTATGGAATAAATATTCAGCTTCATCATATGTTGTGTTCTACAACACTCATTTTATTTGTTAGGCAGCTAAGTGGTGTACTAGGTAAAGTGCTAGATTGGAATCAGGGAGACCAGAGTTGAAAGAAATCTGCCTCAAATACTTACCAGCTATTTGACCCTGGACAAATCACTTAACCTAACTCAACCACAGTTTTTTTTTCACCTGTAAAATGAGGATAATAAGAGTACCTAATTCACAAGTGATTGTGAGAAAGTGTTTTACAAAACTTAAGGCACTATATAAATGTTAACTATTAGTATTATCATTATATTTGGATTATAGTACATTGTTAGAAAATACATTTCTGAAAAATACATTGCAGTGCTTCCAAATGGCTTCTTTCTCTACTTAACTTTTTTCAAACCAGGGCAATGATGTAGATATCAAAAAACCCTTTGTTTCATAGTATTTGTCAAAACTTTTATTTCTCTTTGAATTGTTTCCCTCCTCCCCCCCCACCACCACCATGAAATGTATTGTAACAAGTTTTATTTTTCTACAGTTTTGGACCACTTAGTTCTTGCCTATTCAAAGAACCTATTTCCAGAACATAAGGAGTTAAAAGTAGAGTGAATAGTTTACTGAAAATTGCCTTATTAGGGACAAAGTTCATCTATCTTACACCAGAGTGAATTATGGAATTGTATTAATGTGGCAAAAAGAAGACTGAGCTAGGAAAGACTTGCATTCCAATTCCCACTCTGACATTTTCCTAGCTGTATGACCATGCAATTCATACAAGATTCTGAGATTCAATTTGCTTACCTGTAAAATTAGGTAATAATATTCTCATTATGTATATCACACAGTTGTTATGAGGAAACTAAATTAAAATGCTGTAGAAATGTTAATATAGCGTATACCTTTTGTAGAATTAGAAAAAATATTAATTTAAACAAAATAATTCAAACTCTTTTTAGCACCTTGTGAATTCTTGCTGATTGATTTCTCTGTTTTAAATTGTTTTAAAAATTATATTCTTACTAGCTTGGATTGGTACTTAAAGGTCATTGGCTAAAGTAGGGGGAAAGAGTTATCCTAATCAATCTTTTGTGCCTACTACATATCCCACACTACTCTAGCTGTTAATGATATAGACAAAAATGCCATGATCCATGCCCTTAAAGAGATTATATTCTATTGGTGGGATTCTAGAAGCTATAAGATGCATGGCTGCATGACTGGTTGGAAAAACGGGAAATTTTGGCACCTTGGACATTCTGCTTGCTTATATTTATTTTGACACATATTTCTTTCTGATCTTCACAGCATCTCTTGTACATATTTCCTTCTCTCTATTCACACAGTTAACACACTAGTTGAGGCCCTTAATCCCTCTTGCCTAGACTACTGTAGTCTTCCAATGGTCTCCCTGACTCCAGTTTCTCTCCACTCCAATAACAACAAAACAGGTGATTTAATGGCCTAAGTTTCTTTTCAGGACCTATCTGCAAACTAATTCCACTATAAATAGTTCAATAAATACTGTCCTGGCCCATCAATGATTATAGTAAAATATAGAGTTGGGAATGTCCATTAAGTAGCCATTTCTCTTGAGGTCAAGTTCAATTTTTTTTGGTCTTACTTATGTTCTTTCTATAATGCTTAAGAATATCTTTGTGCTTAATACATATATATACTGCTAACATTAAAAAAATAAATCTTACATTTATTTTTCATACCTTGAAGATTTTAAACATAATCTCATAAACTGAGAACGTTTTTTCTGCTCTTGTCCAGTCCCAAGTGGTTACCTTTAAAATGAGAAAATTACATGGTAATATCATAATTGTTAGAAATATAATTCATTTTTAATTCCTCTAATCACAAAATGTTTATTCATAGAGACTTCCACAGATTAATTTTGTCCTGACTTTTTGCAAAAATGCTTACAGAAATCAGTATGTTGAAGTTTTTGTTTCTTTATTACTACTTTTTCTTACTCAATTTCCTTTCCACACCTTCAAAAAATACTTTATCACTTGTCACTGGCAAAAGGTCTAATGTGTCTGCATGTTTTATTTTATTCTTTGAAAACTTTTAAAAATACTTTTTATTTATTTTGTTAAATGTTTCCTAGTTACATGTAAAAATTAAAAATAATTTAATAATTTGAGTTCCAAATCTCTTCCTCCCTTAAGCTTCTCTCACCTCCCCCTAGAGAAGGCAAGTGATTTGATATGGATTATACATGTGAAGTCACCCAAAATATATTTCTATATTAGCCATGTTGGGAAAAAAATGTATAAACTATTAAAAATAAAGAAATTAAAACAAAAAGTTATGCTTCAATCTACATTCAGAATTTATCAGTTTCTTTCTCTCTGGAAGTGCATAGGATTTGTCATCATGGGTCCTTTGGAATTGTCTTGGATTATTGTCTTAATCAAAGTAGTTAAGTCTTCCACCACTGACATCTATACAATATGGTTGTTATTGTGTACAATGTTCTCCTGGTTCATCCCACTTCACATACAGTTCATGTAATTCTTTTAAGAATTTTTTTCTGAAAGCGTACTGTTCATAATTTTTATAGCACAATAGGATTCCATCACAATCATATACCACAACTTGTTCAGCCATTCCCCAATTAATGTACCTCCCCTTGATGTCTAATTCTTAAGCCACCACAAAAAAGAGCTGCTAAAAATGTTTTTGTAAAAAGATGTCTTTTTCCTTTTTCTTTGATCTGTTTGTGATACAGACGTGGTAGTAGTATTTCTGGGTCAAAGGATATGCACAGTTTATAGCCTTTTGGATGTAGTTCCAAATTGTTCTCCAGAATGCTTAGACCAATTCACAACTATACCAAAGGTGCATTGGTGTCTCAATTTCCCCACATTCCTTCTAACATTTGTCATTTTTCTTTTGTCAGGCTAGCCAATCTGACAGGTAAGAGGTGGTCTCTCAGTGTTGTTTTAATGTGCATTTCTCTAATCAATAGTGGTTTAGGGCATTTTGTCTGCATATTTTAAATGCATATTGGGAAGGCATTAAATTTCCTAAGTACTTCAGAAACAACAATTAATGATGTTTCACAAATAATCTGTGAAGTTTTAGTTTTCTTCCATTTTTCCTTCCCTCCCTTTCTCTTTCCTTTCTTTCTTACTTTCTCTCTTCTTCCTTCCTTTCCCTGGTAAACAAAGCAAGGAATTATAGAAGAGTTCATCATGAAGTGAACAAACATAGAGCTTTATCTATTTAAGAAAACTATTTCTATCAAGGGCTCAAAAATATTAAATTCATGAAAATCAATAGTTTTTTTCTTACTGTAGCATAATTAGTACACCAATAATTTGAAGATGATTATCTTATATAAAGAAATACTTTACATCTTATATAAGCATAATTTTAGTAGTTTAGAGATTGGTCAAGGGGTCTAAAATGATTTCAATTCCTCTTTTTTAGGGGTCAGAGAAGGCTATTAAAGTTAGAGCTAACTCAGATTCTATTATTGGAAGGGTCTAACTTATAATTTCCCTTGGAAATAGCCTTTTGATGGTAGTTGGATTTCTAGGAGAGCCCAGAAAAAGCTGCTTTAACTCACAATTGACCTAAAGTATGGTGTTATAAAGATAATACTGTGGTAGCTAACCATCATGCATGGATATCAAATGCTTTTCAGGTTCCAGCTTTGGGTATAACAATCTTATCTCCATGAAGGATACATGCTTCAACTTTATAACAGCAGGCTCATCTCTCCCTTCCATAACCTTTCAAACAGCAGAATCAGCAAGGTAAATGGTGAGGATAACCTATGCAGGAGATGCCTACCCATTTGTCCCTCACAGTTCTAATGGACGCCTTATACCCTCAGAAATCAAATGACCAGGGTAGTGAATTTTGCTGATACTGAGATGCCCCTTGTTAAGAAGGATATGCTCACAATGTAGAAATGCTTTGTTTGGTTAACTAATAACAACAGATGTACTTTAAATGCAAATTAAAACACAAGGCTGGTTTGATATTTTCAATTTGCCAGACAAGAATAAGGTATGGGTATGGAAAATAATTAATATTCAAAATATTCAAAATAAGTTCTATTATATACTGGCTGACTGACCAGTGATTGTTAAACTTTGATCTATACTATTTCTATGGAAATTTATCCATTAAAATTAAATACTTTTCCTATTCTTTTTTTAAAAACATTTCTTATTCTATCTGTTTCTTATTGCCTCAGCTTTGTACCCTCAAGGTAATTTAATAAACATCCTTAAAATTCTCCTGTGGCACGAATTATTTGTAAATGTACTGATCAATCAGAAACCTGAGCTAATAAAATCATTGTACACATTTCCTTTGTTCCTCTTTCCATGCACTCTTCTATCTAACGCTCAGACACAACATTAATAGATGATCTTGCTCTGATAGCATCTCATTATGTAATTTTTACGTTGTGTTGGTGACCATAACTGAATCCTGAGGTGACAGGTTGAACACTATCATTGTTTCTAAGGTTTGCAATGTGAAAAATAGTAGTTTTAGATTTTTCATGAGTTACCAAAATTAAGAAAAAAATTCAGGACAGTTCAATTCCAGAGTGAAAGCTCTTTAGGGCAGATTTTGGACTCTTTAAATTATTTCTTTACATTTATGTTTTTCTTTTTAAAAATATTTATTTTAATTTAAATTTATGTAATAAAACAAGCATTTCCATAACAGAATACAATAAAAAAAAGGTGACTGAACATGGAACTGCAAATCCATTATGTACAACTTGTTATTCCTTTTGAATAGGTAATAAAGTTATCACATAACTTTCTTTTTCTTTTTTTCTTTCCTCTCACCATATTCACTCTCTCTCTCTCTCTCTCTCTCTCTCTCTCTCTCCCTCTCTCTGTTCTCTCTCTCCCTCTCTACTTTTCTTCTTTTCCTCATTCTTTTCCTCTTTCCTTCCTTCCCCTTCTCTTTCTTGTCTTCTTTCCTTCTTTTACGGAATCATATAATTCGAGAATTGGAAAGGAGGTCAGGAGATAGCTAATCCAAACCATACCAGAAAAGAATCCTTATTTTAACATACCCAGAATGTAATTATCCACCCTCTGATTGAAAACCAACAAGCACAGGGAAACTAGCACTTCTCTAAGGAGCCCATTATGCTTTTGGACAGTTCTATTGGATTTTTTTTTCCTGACACAAAGCTTATAGTTGCCCCTTTGCAACTTTCACCCATTTCGTTGTTCCTGGTTCTAGCCTCTGGAGTCAAAGAGCAGAAGTTGAATCTTTCCTCTATGTGATGGCCTTCAGATACTTCATGATAGCTATTTTTTTGAGTTTTCTAGTCTCCAGACTAAAATGACCAGTTCGTTCAATTATTCCTCATATACTTTGTTTCTCTTTTTTTCTTTTTAGTCTGGATCTATGATTTCATTATTTTGGGAAGATCCTAAGGCCCCCTGGAATTCTACCAATGGAGCATAGCAACTCTTCTACAAATTATGGTCTTAGAGAATTACCTGAAGCACCGGAAAACTAAGTGACTTGCTGATAGTTGCACACCTAAGATGTCTCAAAAGCAGGACAGACAGCTAAGTCTACCCAACTTCTGAGGACAGCTTTTCTTAGGCTATACTACAATGGTTCTCATCTATATTTAGTAACAGAAATAAATTAAGTATAGGATCAATTTCTGAAGATTAGGCAGAAAAAAATTAGTAAAAATTAAAATGTAAGAAAATATACTTACTGGAGGTGCCAGAAATTTATAAAGAGAAGAGCCTCTCAGTGCTAAAAACTTTGGTGTATACTTCCGATCTTGAAGGGAATCTTGTTCTCGTTCTTCAGTCCAGCCCATGTAGACTATCTGGCAGGAAAATTAATAATGTTGACTAATGTCACATGAGTTTATCTTCATTAGAATCTGTTGTGCAAATATGGTAAAGTAATTCTAATTCTGATTTTTTTTACTAATCATTTTCAATTAAAATGACAAAAATAGCCACATGTTGAAAATTATTTTTTCCTTTGCACATGAGAAGGATGGCCGTTATAAAAACAAAAACATAGACTAAAATTTTCAAACATTTTCAACCCAAGATCAGAATGGCTTGAGAATTCCTATAAGGAAAACAAAATGAATGAAATGAAGGCCTGTTACATATGTTCTCTTTCCCTGAGGTTTTCTGTATTACCTTTCTATCTTTCCCATTTGAAGCTGATAGCCTCCCTTATCTCAGTATGGACATGAGATGCTCAGATATATGATGATTTTGCTTATCCAAGATGAGAAACTGCCACATTATTTACTGCTCTTAAATTTAGGTAGCAACAGGGCTTAGACCTGAGATTAATTTCATTGGTGTGGTGAACTCCCAGGTGAGGAAACTTTTTTTTTATGTATCATTGGCATCTTCTCTTCAACTTATAGTCTTAGAATTTGCCTAGAGAACTGAAAAGTTACTTGCCCAGAGTCAAAGAGCTGCTATGGATCAGAGGTGAAACTTAAACCCAGGTTGTCCTGATTTCAAGGCCAGTTTCCTATACACTATAACATAATATGTTGCTTCTTAAACTAATATTGATATATTTATGGCAATGGAATAACTGAAAACAAACCACTCTTTTTTTCCTCTCCATGTGACAGCTATGAATTGTTTATATAAAGCTCTTTCTAAACTTGAAAGTGATGTAATAATGCCAGTTATAATTCACAGTATCTAAACTCTTTGAGGACAGGAACCATATTTTTATTTTTGCCCTTTTCCATAACCACACTGCTTAGCATAATGCTTAGTGAATACTAAACATTTAATAAATGCTTGTTGATTTATTGTTATTACAATTATTATTAACAATGCCTCCCAGAAGCAGCACATTCTAACTATCCAATCTATCACTTAACAAGTACTTATTGAGGTGACCAGTCCTATGTTGCATAAGAGGTAGGTAGAACAGAGCAATCAACAAGCCACATGAAAGGATGCTCATGTAGATCATTGATCCATGCCAAATGGATCATGGCACTACACTGATTAAAGAATGAAAACTGGGTATTTTGTGATGCCTCCATGTTCAAGGGAATTCTTAGCTAAAATGTTCTTTCCTTCAAGTAATTTGCAATTCAAAGAGATTGAAATTTAGTTATGTATTCCAAACCAGTTACAGCCTCACTACGCTAAACTGGAGAATTCCTGGGCTGATTTTGGAAACAGGCAGATAATTGTCAAAAGATGAAATATGAGGAAAAGGAGCAGAGTCAAGATGGCAGAGAGTTAACAGTTTTGCCCTACCTCCCTTCACATCTTCCCCTACAAAAATTTTTAGAGTACCAGAATAAAACTTGACGTGGAAAACCAAGAAAAAGTCCCAGTGATGCATTTTTTTTTCAGCACAGGGTAGCTTAAGAAGAAAGAGATCTGTAGACACTGAGTTGGGGAATGGCCAGGAGCGTAAAATCAGGTGAGTGACACCTGGCAGCTTTCTCATCCATTTCCCAGTTCTGGGTCATAATTCCAGGGTGAGAAAATGGGCATAGAATTGAGGGAGCAAGGGCCCTATCTATGTAAGGAGCAAGGTACAAACTACAGGAAAAAAAATAGTTATGTGACTCTGAGCCCAAGAAAAGAATGAAGAATCACTTTATCCCCACACATAATCCTGTAGTACAATAAACCAGGGCAGAAGGAGAAAACCAATGCAGAGACAGCAGTTCAGTCATTCTGAACCCACAGAACCTTTCAACAGGGTAACTGACTATGTCTAGCAGCAGTCTATAAAAACCAAATCACACTCAAGTCAACAAACACAAAATAGGTCAGGAATGTTCAGAGTAGGCAAGCAGTAAATGGACGTCTCCCTGTCTCACTTTGGAAGTACAAAAAATCTACAAGTCCCCAGACTGAGAAATGAAAGCAGAAGAAGGATATAAAAGACAGGACAGAAGCTCAGACCAGGCATCCTCCCAACCTCCAAAGTGAGCAGAAGCCAATACTAACTTAAATTCCAAAGTCAAGAAGTAGACTGGAAACATGAATGAACAACAGCAACAACAAATAACCTGGCCATAAAAACTATTATGGTTACAGGGAAGCTGAAGCCATAAACACAGAAGACTATAAGCAAAGCCTCAAAGAAAAATGCAGATGGTATAGAAGGCCAACAAAATTCCTAGAAGAGTAGAAAATAGAGGTAAGAAGGTAGAGATAAAAAAGCAAAAAATGTTTTTAAAAATCAAATAAGAGTGGTAGCACATAAATTTGGAAAATAACTAAGAACTAATGCAAGAAAATTATGAAAAGAGAACAGTGTGGAAAAAAAAGGTACAAACAATACCAAAGTAAATCCTTAACAATTAGAATTATTCAAATGGAAACTAATGATTCCATGAGACATCAAGAAACAATAAAACATCAAAAGACAAAAAATAGAAGAAAATGTAAAATATCTCAAACGAAAAAGAATAAGGAAAGATAATTTAAAAATCACTTGACCACCTAAAAATCATGAACAAAAAAAGTCTAGACATTGTATTTCAAGGAATTATAAAGAAAACTTACTAGATGTCTTAGAACCAGAAGGAAAAGAAAAAAAAATATGAAGAAACTACCAGTCAACACTTCAAAGAAATCTCAAAATGAAAACTAGAATGTTATAGCCAAAATCCAGAACCCCTACATAAATGAGAAAATGTTGCAAAGAACCAGAATGAAATAATTCAATACTCTTGAGGTACATTCAATATCTTACATGATTGAGTAGAAACCAGTATAAAGGAGCAAAGGGTTTGGAATATGCTATTCCAGAAGGTAATATAGGATTACAACTAATAATAACCTGCCCAGCAAAACTGAATATAATCCTACTGGAGGGAAATGGATATTTAATGAAACTGAGAACTTTCAAATTTCCTGATGAAAAAAACAAAACAAAACAAAACGGAACTTAATAGAAAACTTAACATTTGAACACAAGGCTCAAGAGAAGTATAAAAAAGTAAATATAAGTAAGAAATCACTAACAGCTAAACAAGTTCAAACAATTTATATTCCCTATATGGGAAGGTGATTATGCAGTCCCTATGAATTTTATTCTGACTAGGGTGGTTAGAGGGAGTCTACTTAGACAAAAAGCATTAATGATTATACTATTTTGGGATGTTCTCAATAGAATAATGGAAGGGTGAGAAAGAGGGATGCACTGAAAGATCAGGGAACAGTGGTGAAGGATGGTAAAAAATATCTCAAGTAATGGGTCATGAAAAGATGAGTTTATTAGAAAGAAAAGATGCAACAAGAACTACTTCATGAAATCCTTAATTATTTCACAAAGCTTTAAGGTACTGTTTGGTTAGGCAAGGTAATCTGGTGATGAGTCCTATCAATGGAAAAAAAAAATTGAGCAACTAGTTATTGAATATGGGAAGTAGGACCTGGGTATGTTAACAATGAAGTAGAGAGTGTCCATTGAACTGAGTGAAATAGAATGTGGTGAGAGATGCAAGAAAATAACATAGACAAGTTGACAATGTACAAGGTGGAAATAAATGAAAGGCAGTGAAAATGAAACAGGAGTGTATCTAAATATGGGTCCTCAGAGCTAATTCCATGTTGAGCATAGGATGAGTGTGTTATAGGGCCATGAATGGACAGACAACTGTGTCCTGTGGACTTGGGGGGGAAGTTACCAGCACTGGATGTTTCCCTAATCCCCTAGGAGCAATATCAACATTCTGAAGACTATGATATAAATATCTGATCGTAATGGTTTTTAGAGTTCCTTATATCTGCCTGGGGCAGGTTAATAACATCTAATACCTCTTAACATAGTAGGAGCTAAACAAATGTTTGTTAAATGAAAGAGAGTGGCAGGGGAGAAGTCAGTGAACATAGTTTGATGCCAGCATAATTAGCAGCAGATGGGGTACGAATTTGAATTTGTTTGTACTAGGGGGAAGGCACAAGGAGGAAGTGGGCTGAGGACTCTAACACATGGGAGGTCTGTTTAGATTGTTATTTTTTAGTCTATTTCATGTGAGCATTTTGCATAGCTAATTAAATTACAAGCTCCTTGAGGGTATCTGCTCCACTTTGCCTTCAATCAGCTTCCTATTGGTATGTTGTTGAATGTGGAAACATTAGAGAATATGAGAGAATCTCTCTCACATATGCTTAATCAAATTGAATGTAATTTTGCATGAAGTTTGAGAAATGATCTAAAAAGAATGGTAATAAAATGTGGGTTAGAAGATCAACACTTTTTTCCAGAATGAAAAAAATGGGCAGCCAAGATGGTGGAGTGAAAGTAGTGGCTTGCTTGAGTTCTCCCCCAAACCCCTCCAAATACCTGTAAAAAAATGGCTCTAAACAAATTCTAGAGCAGCAGAACCCACAAAAAAGACAGAATGAATTAAATTTCCAGCCCAAGACAATCTGGATGGGCAATTAGAAAGATCTATCATGCCTGGCTGGGAAAAGAACCCAGTTTGGTGTGGGTACATAAGCAAAACGTGTCTCAGTGGGGGGGCAGCTAGGTGGAGCAGTAGATAGAGCACTGACCTTGGAGTCAGGAGGACTTGTGTTCAAATATCACCTCAGACACATAATGCTTCCTAGCTGTGTGACTCTGGGCAAGTCACTTAACCCCAGTTGCCTCACTAAAACAACAACAACAACAACAATAACAACAACAACAACAACAACAAAAACAGGCCTCAGTGAACCTGGAGCAGGGCTCAGAGGACAGCTGTGGCAGCTTCCAGACTTCTCAACACGCAAATGCCAAAGACAACTTAGAATGTCAGTAGGAAAAGCTGTGACTGTGGTAAGAGAGAAGCGTGGTCCCAGTCCCAGCCCTGCCTGCCGCCCC